TTGAGCAAAACATAGGCTGGGAAATGGGATTGGGTTCCTCGATCCCTCCAGGACCCTCAAAACAGGTTAAAAATAATGTTATARATGCGCAACATGATTTTTCCCCTGTGTTTACACAACCGATGTTGACGATACRTGACGAAGGGCAGAAAATAAGCCTGATTTCCACTACGGCGCAAGTATAAGCATAAGCACAAGCATGAGCTCCATATACAAACATAATAAATAAATCAATTCTAGATCTTATATAGCGCATAAACCATAGGCGCTTTACAATATAAACTAGATGTTGCTACTTTACAATGATCATATATATGAATAGTACAGATGAAWTATAACTGAGAAATCCAAGCACAAGCAGAAGAATCAAACTATTTTTACCCTTTCCTTGTGCTTGTTTTTTCATATTAAAGTACTTACTGGTTTTAACACCCTCTTTATTTCCTTCAGCATTTGCCTTAACACTTCTTCTTCTAAGGAACACATCACGTCTATCAAAAACACAGCAGMAAAGGTGTTATCTTGTATGTTACTCATGTCTGCAGCACTTTGCACCAGGTAGTCTTTCAGCTTGACCTGAGGCGCCTTTGCGAGACTCTCGCGAAARTGTTTTTCCATGAACRGGTTGTAGTCCATCGCAACCAAAGAACTTTCTTCAGGAAGGCGTAAATAAGGAAGAGATCGGCCAGCTCCTGATCCAATCTCCAATACGTCTCCTCCAATTTCAATGGCTTTATTTTCAATCTGCTTCAGCATGGACTTMAATATCTCCAAAAAAGCAGCAAAAGACTTGGTTTTCTCCGTTTCTATCTTTATTACAAGAGCAAACCACCTCTTGTACAGTCGGCACTCACAGATAACATYAAAAATCTTCGAGATTAACCCTGTTTTGTACACCACCAGCGTAGACAGAAGTATTGCGAGCGAAAAGATTATTCCAGTCAAAGAAATACCYTCCATGATGGACGTCTTTGCTCAAAAGGGTGAAACAATAGGTTGTTTGTCTGGCTAGATGGCGTGATTATGAATAAATTAATTAATTTACTTATCAACTCCTTTAGTCTGATTGATTGATCAATACATTTTTAAGTCATTCAAATCCATTTATTTTTACAATTGTATTAGATATTTAAGATCTCTGCATTATCTATTTTTACTTTCTCCTAAATTTGATGYAATATTTCAAAGCCTCCAATATCGGACTGGACGGGATTTCAAGTCAAAGCAATTAGTTCCAGTCCGAGGCGCAGACGAGGATTGGAACTAATTGCTTTGACTTGAAATCCCGTCCAGTCCGATATTGGAGGCTTTGAAATGGCTTCTCATCTCATTAATTATTCGACTTGGAGTAACTGGAAGAAAATTAATTCAGAAGACTGAATGCATTCCTTTCACAGCACTTTACCAGGTTTCAAGTAACATCATGTGACCCAAAAATAGCCCATAGGTTGCTATCAATAGACGTCACTTCCGGTAATAGCTCTTTTTTGATGGCTTGTAGAATCCTGGA